TATATATATCCTCTGTATAATAATAATCAGATACAATGTAGGACCATGTCCTGAATTTTACATGAGGACAGTGAGGCCCATGACCCAGAATGATTGAGATAAAAGAAGAAGCCTGCTGGAGTGATGAATAAGGCAAGTATTAGCGTATTCCTCTACCCCAGACATAATGTGCATTTAACCCTTGCTGTGTGTGGTGGGGGGGCCCTCACTACAAAAATCCCAGGGTTCAGCTTTTAGATCTGTGCAATAATCCAGCATGAAACAACTCCTTTGCATCTGTGTAGGAGTTTCCTGTAATAGGAAGCAATCACTGCTGCTTTTTTTCCTGTGCAGGGTGACTAGTCTTGGATCTGCACCCCCCTTCCCCCATGTCATTTTCTGCAGGCAGCATGTGGTTCTGGCCTCTTGGTAATACATATACCGGTAGTACTGCGTCAAGGTTTAACCTTCAAAGACTTTAAATACAGATGGACGTGTTTGCACTGTTGATTGATGAAATATAGTTACAATGAGGTATTAATGTCCACCTACAAATCTAGGCACTGGGGCATCATATCAGAATGCAGAGGTTACTGGAGACATACTTATACTTACTGATTGTGAAGGAATATTATTCAGACTGTACAACACTATAATTGTATGTGTGCATACAATGAAATAGGTATTTATTCATCTTCAATCAGCGACAACTCAGAATAAGTTGAAATGTTACCTATCTGTGCCATTATCTGGAAAAGCGCAATCTGTCTTAAGTATGTTGATTTTCCGCTCATATTTGGCCCGGTGAGTATGACAAAATTACTTCCCTCACTTAGATACGTGTCATTGGGAACTGGTTTCGACAAGGCGATCTTCTCCAATATCGGATGCCAGCCCTGTTTTATCGCCACTGTATCTGTGAATTCTGGACGAACTACCAGAAAGAAAAAGAGTGAGTTAATGAGTGAGCGGACCCGAAACATAAGAGACTAGACATGTAGCACAGGTTCAAAGAATGAAACAAATGGCAAACACACTTATCAATTCATAACTAGCTTCAAAGTAAGATGCACATCAGTTGCGGAACTATCGCCATAGCGACCCAGGTGGCCGCTAAGGGGTCCGGCCAGAACAAGGAACAACGGGGTTCCCTTGATGCTGCCTGAGTCACTATGGCATCGCACGCTGCTGGCTGTCACTGGCGGCTGTGAGGAGGAACGCACTGCTGTCCAGATCACTTACAACCTATCAGTGATCTGTGCAGCAGCACTTTCCTCCTCACAGCCTCTGCTAAGTCAGTGACAGCCAGCAGCTTGCAGGGGAGGGGGCCGGGGGCCCGTCGCCGGCAGACTAGGAGGAGGTGAGGGCCCAGCGACGGTGGAGGAGGCGGGGGCCCAACAACGGTGGAGGAGCCGGGGGCCCGGCGACGGTGGAGGAGGCGGGGGCCCGGCGACGGTGGAGGAGGCGGGGGGCGGGCGAGGGGGGGGGGCCCCCGGGGGCGAGGGGGCCCTCCAGCGACCGAGGAGGAGACAGTGTCCGGCGGTGGAGACGGCTGACAACGGATCGGGGCTGACAGGTAAGAGGTGTAACCAGCCAAACTGAGACCCTACAGAGCCCACCATAGAGAGTCTATGGTGGGCTCTGCAGGGTCACTCTCAGGTGGGCTCTGCAATGGGCGTAACTAGAAATCACAGGGCTCCATACTAAATTTTGCTTAGGGGCCCTGTGATTTCTAGTTACACCCCTGGTGCACATGGAAGGGCAGTACACTGTACAAAAGCAAGAATTTCCCAGCACACTTACTATCTAGCCTGAAAAAAAATCTACTCCATTATCTATAAGGGTTAAGAACAGAAGTTTTAGTTGCACAACTTTTACTAAACATCAAGGCCCGTCCCTGTAGTGTGGTCCTAACTCTAATCCATGAGAGCCTCCATCTTGGAGCATATATAGCAAAGGATGAATTGGGTGCAGGTTCACCAGGAGGCAACCGATTCCTCCTTAAAGGTGCAGTGACACGCCAAAAGCCCAGCACCTACCAATGGCAGCTGAAGCCCCCAGTGTGTCCCAAAACCATTTGCTTCACTTGTTGGATTTGGTGTGGGGACACACCAAAAATATGTCCATGAGGAAAGTGGCCAACTTTTCCGGTGCTGAAAGTCTCACATCAAAAAACAAAGATATACATTTTGCGAACTTGCACACAAATACGTCCAAGAGTTCCTCTACCATTTCTGTCTCAATGTAACTCTTACCATAATCTGACAACGTGCAAACACTAGCCAAAGAAAGCAGCATATCCAGCATAGAGACTGCGTCCGATAACTTGTACAGGCAGTGGATGTGCTCGTAGATCTCACTAAGCAGCTTACACACGATGCTGAAACACAACACAATAAAACTAGACACAGTCATTCATCCTGGAGATGCTTGCAAATGTCACATCATTCCATCATTTCACAATCTTACTGAAGATATTCAGTATGCCCTGAAAGATTTGGTTGGACCGACCCTTTCCTTCTGGAGGGGGGCTACATTTGTTCCCCATGGTCCCTGTATGTGTTGTAAGGTAGTCACCACTCCAAGATCACTCCTGGGATGGACTACAATCTCACTTTTAGTTTACTAATTGGTAGTGAGAAAGTAGTCCATCCTGGGAGCGAGCTTGGAGCGGTGGCTACCTTACAACACACACAGGGACCATGGAGAACAAATGTAGCCCCCCTCCAGAAGGAAGGACAGTGTCAGCACCAATTCAGAGAGGATTTCAGGATCTACAGCCGAGTGATACACAAATAACATACATTGTTGTTAATAGTTAAGGTACTTGAATGTATTTTTAAGGTTAAGTGTCACTTTAAATAAAGTTTTTTTTTCCTTTTAAGTCATTAAATAACAAAAGCGAAAAGACACCGGCTAGACTTACATATAAGACATGTGGTAGATTTCTCTCAGCGATTCGTGGATTCGTTCATTCATCTTAATTAAATCGACTGTTGTGAAGCTGTAAGTGTTTTTAACTCGCGTCACCTGGGAAAACAGCATTGCAAGCAGTTGCAGTGAAAGATTCTCGGGTTAATGTACGAGCTGCAATTAACTATCTTATCTCACAGCAGCTGTCAGCATAATCAGTGTAGAGAGACTGATGCGTGAACGGGCCTCAGACCTATTTAGAGATTTTGCCATTGGCTTCCATTGCAGTCTGATGTAACCATTGTTGTAGTCTGGCATTACCAGAAGGGCCCATTTACAAAATGAGTTGCATACCCTTTTTCATGTCAACAGATGTTCAGGTATCTCCAGCATCCCTCTAGATGTTCATGTATCTCTAGCATCCCTCTAGATGTTCATGTATCTCCAGCATCCCTCTAGATGTTCAGGTATCTCCAGCATCCCTCTAGATGTTCATGTTTCTCCAGCATCCCTCTAGATGTTCATGTTTCTCCAGCATCCCTCTAGATAAGTGGTGGCAACCCTTGGCACTCCAGCTGTGCCAAAACTACAAATCCAAAGATGCATCTGCCTCTGGGAGTTACGTCTGTGGCTGTCAGAGCCTTGCAATGCCTAATGGGACTTGTAGTTCCAAAACAGCTGGAGTGCCAAGGTTCGCCATCACTGCTCTAGATGTTCATGTTTCTCCAGCATCCCTCTAGATGTTCATGTTTCTCCAGCATCCCTCTAGATGTTCACGTTTCTCCAGCATCCCTCTAGATGTTCACGTTTCTCCAGCATCCCTCTAGATGTTCATGTTTCTCCAGCATCCCTCTAGATGTTCATGCTTCTCCAGTATCCCTCTAGATGTTCATGCTTCTCCAGCATCCCTCTAGATGTTCATGCTTCTCCAACATCCCTGTAGATGTTCATGTTTCTCCAGCATCCCTCTAGATGTTCATGAATCTCCAGCATCCCTCTAGATGTTCATGTATCTTTAGGATTATTCTATGAATACAGATGCCAAGATGCAGAGGAGCACGAAGAGCAAGCACATCCAGAGGGATCCCAGGGATGCCCTCAATCAGAGAAAAGATGTCTGTTGCCTCCCCTCCCCAGGATTTTATTTTTTTATCTACCCAGGTACAAGACACTATTGTTTCGAGGAAATATCTGGATAATTATAAGATTACAAGCACCTCTAAGTGGCTCGGCCAGGTATCAGAAGCAACAGTTTTTTTTTAGGTTTGTTTCACACATGTGCACCTATTATTTCATTCACAATGGGTATGACCAATACACCTAACAATACCAGATTCCAAATAAAAACAACAGCCACCTTAATAAATTCTGCAGGAAGAGACGGCTGCATACTTCCTTCAGCGTTCATCTGGATGAAGAATCCCCGTGCGGTGCTGAAACTTGTCCTTAGCGATAAGTTATACTTGTCAGATAGCTGTGATATCATTCCTGTATACAAAGAAAACTTTGCAGGTTTTTAACATAGTTCTTTCTAGCATCAGCCAGTCCCGATGGATAAGTAAAAATATAACTTAGAGCAGAACTCTAGGAAAAAGCAAAACTTTGATCAATACCAGCAATGTCGTCTATGATCTCTGCATATGTCCTCCGGGCAATGTCGAGGAACTCACTAATGTTCGGCTTAACTGCATAACACTTCTGAGTTCTCATATTGAGGCATCCTCTGATGTATCTGGTGTCATCATTTATAACCGTTTTAATTTTTTCGAGCATGAGATCAAACCTGGTAAAGATAACATAAGAAGATGAAACTCCGAAATCACTGAAAGAAAAAGTAACAAAACAACCTAGGCCTATGGTTCTCAACCACCAGACTATGACCTCCCTTCTGCTGGGCTGCAGGGCCCTGATTTCTTAGGCACACAGAGCCTTGAGATGTGACCATTTGCCGCTGCTGCCCGCCCCAATATATCTGGACATTAGTAGTAGGTTGCCGCTAGTAAAGCCCAATCACAGCTCCCTGTCTCTGCCCACCCCAGCGTGCAGGAAGAGCTGTGACAGGGCTCTCCCCTATGCCAGTTTGCCCAGCGGTCAGGGAGGATGGCTGCCAGTTTGCAGTTAGTGGGCGGTGGTGCAGGGGATATGTGTATGGGTCGTGTAGAGCTGCCCAGGTTCTGAGCTACATCCCGGCTGTGATTTAGTTCTGCTTGAATCTTTGCTCAAAAATTGTGTGAATATTCACTTCAACTCTCTAATCAAACTCATATTCTTTTTGAATACCCAATCACATGCTTTTTACACGATAAGATAACTGTAGTTCATCCCGGGAGTGAGCTTGGAGTGGTGGATACTTTACAACACACACAGGGACCATGGGGAACAAAAGTAGCCCCCCTCCAGAAGGAAGGACAGTGTCAGCACCAATTCAGAGATGATTGGAGGATCTACAGCCGAGCGATACACAAATAAGATACATTGTTGTTAATAATTAAGATACTTGAATGCATTTTTAAGATTTAACTCCTGAGTTTGGTGTCACTTTAAGGTGGATTTGAAGGGTGCAGTGGGCTTTAAATTGCTCCTGAGAGGTACAGAAGCTCCTTTCAGATCCCAGACCTGTTGCCAAAAAACATCTTTCATTAGCTTCATTATTAGTTTTTTTTTTATTAGAAGTATAATAAAGTTTTTTAAATCAACTGTACACAATGTTTGTGAAAAAAAGTATAAACGGACCCCTAAATGTAACATTTAATTGAACTGTAATAAACTACGCAAATTCTCAACAGATATATATGTAATTTCACAGCAAAATCTATAATTCTCTCACTGCAATTGTGTTAATGAAAAATCTCCCCTATTCATGTATAAATTAGTAATATCTCATGTAACAGTGCTCTGCTTGAGAAGACACTTTCTGCATGCAATAATTTGTTGCTGCAGCTTGTATGAGGTCCAATGTGTCTTGGAAACTAAAACACAATGCTTCAGATCTAAAAGGCACGTGATGAAACGGTCACAACATATTCTAGCCAGCAGCTTGGATGGGCCCTAACAATGAGACATATAGTGAACAAAAGAAAAATCTATC